ATTTTTTCAAATTTATTTTTTTTAAACTTTCTCTGTTATTATCGATTTTTGCAATAAAAACCAAATAGGAATTGTACTTAGTTTTGTTTAATCTATCAAAGCATCAAAAATGTTGACTGTTTTAAAAGAATAAAAAAACAGTTGTCTCATGTTAGATCCATTGCCTTACATGAATCCCTACCAGTGTTCCATATTGTCCCCTGAGTTTGACCTTTGATCGTCTATATTTAAGTTATACTAAATATATTCCAATTTTTAATTGTTTAAAATATTTTCCAATACTTATTAAACCAATACCTTTTAAAATTGTTCACCTGAATTATTATTTAAATGTTGATGAAAAGGGACAAAGAAAATTCTTTTACAAAAAAAATAGTAATTGTAATAATATAATTTTATGAATATTCTGTTAACATTTATCTAAATGAAGCCTTTTTAAATTAAACTAAATTTTTTTAAGGAATTATGTAATACGTTTCCAAATTTTTTCATTATTAAATTTATTATTTGTGATTATTTTAAGATAGTTTTAATTAGGAAAATTGAAGTTTTTATTTAAATTTAATTAAAACCGCATTTCAAATTCAGCTGGTTTTTATATAAGCTATGACCTAATTTTGAATTTGAAAAAAGCTGAGAATGTCAATCTTATTTTGTGGTTGAAATATTTATTTTTTTTAGAAAATTTATGTTCTGTAAATATTAATATTTAAATTTTTAAAAAAATTTTGAAAAATCTAGAATATCTAGAATACGTTTTTAAATTTTTTGAATGATCATATTAATTTTAGTTTCGAAATATTTTAAAAATTAAAACTTTTTCAAAAAATTCGATGGAAGTTGTTTTTGATATTTTTTTAAAAAATGCCTTTGTTTGTTTCAAACAATGGTGCTAGAGCAAAAGCATTAAAAAAGAAAAGAAAAATTCGTTCAGGGGAGGGGGTAGACGAGCGAAAGAGCTGGTTTTTAAAACATGCGCATAAATTTGTTTTTGGCAAGTCTTTTTAAATAAGGAATGCGAAGGAATAAAATCGAAATAAGACAATCAACAAAAAATTATCTTTGTTTAATTATTTTTTTTTTTATTTAATAAAAAAGTCAATAAATGTCACCGATTTTTGAAGCCTTGTTAGAACAAAATAGAATAAATCGGAGCATTTATGAGACAAATTATTATAACAATAACAACTAAATAGTTCTCTTCCATTTAACAACCAAGAAAGTAGCTCATGAGATATCATTATTATTTTATTAGGTTTTCAACTGATGCTGAGTGTGTAGACCAAATTTATGCGGTTCGACAATACTTGTTCTCTTACTACTTTTTAAATGGACTTAAGTTCGATCAATCAAAATTAATATGAAACATAAAATAAATTTCACATTCATTTCTTTAGTTATTGAATGCAGGCCAAAAACATTGCAATCCATTTATGTTTTACCATTTGGATTGAAATAAATAATGTTTGCGAAATGAAGTAGTAGAAAAATCTATGAAATTTTTGAAAAATCTGATTTGTTTTCTGCCAAACCACAAATTATAAGGTTAAAAACTTCCTTATTTCTTTAAAACTCATATTATATTAAATATAAAATGAAGATAAAAAAATCTAAAATTACTCTGTATAACGAAAACTCGCGCATGAGCGTATCATTTGGTAAACAAAATAATATACAAACGACTGAGAAAATAATTAAAGACGCTCACTTATTATTATAAAGTTCACTAAAGCTCATATCCCTTATACCATCTCTAGGGACTAACATAACTTTAGACACCTATAAAATAACTAAAAAGATGTCTCATGTTTGACTTACTCTTAGGAATTAGTATAAGACATCGTTATTTTTTAATAGTTTTAATTATTAAAAAATAGAAAAACTTGTGTTAAATTATTAAATTATTGTGTGGTGCAAAAAATATTCATATATACTTACTCCATAAATTAAGTAAAATAAAGTAAAAAAAAAAAAAAACACTTTAAATTTTACATGTGACCAGCAACTTCAAACAGAAGAAATGTACCACATTATGTGAATATATTTTTTATTCAACAAAGAATAAGGTCTACATAGAACAGTCTACATAGCACTGAAGCTTTCAAAAAACACAGTGAGAGATAAAGTCTAGTAATAAAAAGTAAGAATCAATGTATTGTGAATTTTCCGAAAAATACGTTCAAACAGAAACGGTTATTAGTATTCATATCTTTTCCGAAGTACATCTTAGTCGGTCGGACTCGGGCTCTAAATCCCATCTATCTTGGGCTCGATTGGGATCAGATTAAAATTCTTCAGGTTCGGGCCTCCAAAAGCGAGGCCAAAGTCATCTGTAGTGGGAAGAGGCAAACTGAAAAATATAGCCCAATAGTTTTGGCTAGAGAGCGGTCGAAAATTTGGGACTCGAAACGTTCATTTCACTTTCTGCACTCAAAGCGAATCGAAAAATATTTGCACACAATTATAAAATTCGTTTGTTCAAAATCTATGTAAAGATAATTTTAATATTTTTTATCCTTTTATTTCATAAGGGTCGAAAAAAATATTGAAATAATAAGGTTAAACAAATTTTACACCATTTTAAACTAAGTAATTTTAAATGACAAAATACAAAATTGGAGTGAAATCGATTAAGCAGTTTCTAAGTTATAAATTTAAAAAAGAAGTTTTAAGATTTTATTTCTCAAGAAATATTCAACCAATTTCATTAAAATTTTTCCACTCCAACTAAATAGAATTTTAAGTAATGAAAAGTAATAAAAAAACTATTAATTTTTTTCTCGTGAAATTATTTTTGGTCAAATTAAATTTAGCATTTTCGATTAACTTAAAAAAATTCCCGAGATCTGATAAAATACGCAAAAAGTGACATTAACATTAAGGGACACAAAGTTTTGACCGTTCCTCTGATTATACAATCTGGACCATATTTTGCAAAGTAGGGCTTCTCCCAATATTTTGATGATCAAAAGTCCGAACCGTCAAATGAAAGTTATGTTTCTTCTGAGCATTTGTGAATCTGTTTCTGCAAATTAATTTTTAGCACTAAATAGCAGCATATTTTAGGTTGATCTTTGAACAATCATTTACGTTCAGTACCCTGCAATTAATTCACGCAAATCTGATCATTAGAAAAAAAATTATTCAGGGTAATATCTTTTTTATGTTGAGCACTGTATATTGTGCGCCATCATTTACAGCTATGAAGTATATGTAATCTAATTTATTGTAATACTTGTTGTTTCTTTATTACAAAATTTATTTAGTCTGTAATAAAACATTTAAACTACTTCCTATTCGGATAATCTAAATTGAATATTACAAAACTAAATTACTTCCTTATGGAGCAATAACAAATTTAAACTAAATGCAAAAACCTCTATTTGTAAAAATTAGATAAAAAGAATTTAAAAAAATTAGTTTACATTGTGTAAATAAATTCTCGTCAACGTATTTTACCTTATATATGGGTCATGTTCATGTTAAAGAAAAACAACAGTAGAAACTTGTTTTACATTCTGAATGAGGTTCTTTTGGGGGAAATTCACCTTCACCTCAAATATTATAGTTTAGGGCTGAAACAAAAACAAATTTCCTTTCAAAATTTTTATTTTATTTAATTTACTAATTCTCTTGTTTTGAATATTGTGTCTACATAGAAGTTTCCGTGTAAAAGATAATGCACTTACACTTCAAGTACATAAACGTCAATTAATACCTGTAAATAATAATTGGGAGGGTGGTTTACTTCATTGCGTGTTAGAATTACTTCCTTCAGGAGTTTGCTTTTTGCAATGTTATTGTCTTTCTCTTAGCTTGAGATTACACTAGAAACTTTAACATTTACTAAAATTGGGAGAAGGTTGAAGGTAAGTCCTTATTCCCTTCTTGTCAGTTTTCTTTTTGCAGTCTTTTTTTTTAAAAAAAAGGTCTTAACACATATTACAAAAATGATACAGTAATTTTTTTTATTAAAAATTGAATTTTAAATTAATTTTTAAAAAATGGCATATAAATTTTTAATAAAATAAGAAAAGCATGACATTACTTGGCATTACAAAAAATAGTTGTTGTTAGATGTCATTTTGATTTCATTTATAAGATATTTATCATTTTTGTCGATTTCTCATTAGTTTTCAGGGCCACGCGTACGATTGGAATCAGAAATGGGCATTTTCGGAGAGATTTTATTAGGAAAATTACATCATAATTTTTTTTAAACAAAAATAGGATTATTATTCATTTACAATTGTGAATTAATTTGAAAGTTAAGAAGAAGGCACCAGGGCAATGTTTTTAAGAAAAATGCTTGAAGTTTTAAAATAAATAAATAAAAGCTTTTATGGGTAAAAAAAATTAACACTTGATCTAAGTAGAACTGGTCAAAAATTTAAATAAATGTGATAAAAAAATGTTTGTGAATTGTATGTTTTTTTCAGCATAGCTGAAAAATGTAGACTTTTTTTAAAAAAATGGAAACAATTTAAATTTACACAGCTTAGAAATCTGACAGTCTTGTAAAAAAGTGATTGAAACAAGAACACGAATAATGTTTTAGACTTTCAACATTTGAAACGCTAATATAGTAAAAATTTATATATATATATATATATATATATATTTATAATTCAAAAANTTTACTTTTGAAGATTTATATATATAAAACATTACTGATCCGTAAAAAAAAGTAAAAAATAAAAAATGAATTTTTATATAGTTAATTGGAACATAGTCTTTAAAACATTTTTAACTGCTAACGGACTATCATATAAGTTTAATATGACGAATCAAATCAGAGGTAGGTGACCTTCCCGGTAGAAAAAGTTATTTTGTTTTTGTTAATCGAATATCAAGTCATTAGAAAGTAATTTAGATGCTAAATCACGCGGTTTGTAGTTTCATTTTTTGCCGTGTCTTCCGGTAATGACGGTTTCTCTCTTAATTTCAAAGAATAATAATTAAAACTCAATTATAATTATATTGTTTTTTCTCCGATAAGTAAAGAAAATATTCAGTGGTTGGAATAACTTGAGAAAAAAATTTCAACTTTATAAAACTGAAAATTTTTCGTGACAAAATTTGTTTTGATGGTTAACTCTCAGCTTTCAGTAGTCATAAAGTTGCTCCTTTAATTATATCAAGTAATATATAAAATTAATGACATTAGTTAGGTAAGTGAAATTTTAATTAGGACAAATTGTGAATGAAAAAGAGTAATGAAAATGAGAATGTTTAGTGGATGAGTTAATGTTACTTAGTTATTAATTACTTAGTTATTTACATTTTAAAGCAATCATAATTCTAGATTTTTGAACATGGTATAGTAAGCTCTATGTAGGTATAATTAAATTATTCTTCAACATATTTAAATGACGGCTCATTCCATGTAAAGTGAAAACAGAATATAAAAATTTATATATATATTTTTTCTGATACTGAAACCTACAACATTTAACAGGTAAGAGCTTAAATTAATTGAACTTCTAGCAGTTTTTAAGAAATTTGTTTCTGTTGTGTGTCAATAGTACAAACCAAAGCCGGCTTAAGGGTGTAATATCATTAACATAATAAATATTACAAAATGAATAATATGCAATTAAAATTAACCTGGATGCTATTTCCGTGTGTACTAATTATAATGTGTGCAAACTAATTTAGACAAATAAACTCCAAGATATTGGAATTTGGTATATTGCTGAGAAAGAGAAGATTTCCTTGACTTGTTTACTTGTAATAGGCTATAATATTTCAAAAGCAGCGTGCAGCGAAAGTTAATGATAGGTAGAACAAGTTTATTTTTTCCAGACGAGAGAAAGTGTTTCGTTTAGCTAATTAAATATTACCTGAATTCTAACACATAAGTAAGGCTTGTAGAGTTATAAGTAAGTAAAAGTTTTTGAATTATGCCATTTCTACTACTAAATTTTATAGTAGTTCATCAATCTTTAAGTTAAGCTTAAGCATATACTATTACTTTACTATAACTATAACAATGCAAATAAGTTTATATATTACTTAATTAATCGAATTTTCTCTTATTATTAAGATTTTTTTCATATAACTCGGCGAGTACTTAAATACTAATAACGTTATTAAGTATTTTTGAAATAGCTCGAAAATTAGTGATATATAAAATAAAATTATTAAACAATGTAAAAGGCCATTAAATATATCATTTAAAGTATTTTAATTTATAGACCAAGTAGATTTAAACTATTATATTTTGATTAAAATAAGTTGTTTCAGATTTTATAATAAATAAAAAAACATTAAAAAAATGATGAATAAAAATGATGAAAAAAATAATATTTCCTTTATACATTATTTTTTTCACGTTTATTAGCTATTACAAGTATTACATAACGCCTCATTTCTGAAAGTTTTAATAATGATTGTTAAAAACATGTCTGATGCAGAGCTTTAGCAATGCAAAAATACAGCGGCTTTCTGCGTTAACTGGTAGATCGTTGTAATTTTTAGAATGGTGATGTATATTGACAAAATGTGATTTTTTTTAAATGAATAATTGATAGTTGCGGTTTGAATGTTTTTAAAAATAAAATATTTTATTTCAATTAAAATGTTTTAAAACAAGAAATTCTAATGTTTGTAGAAAAAAGCAATGCCTGTTTAATTTATTTCTTTTCATTAAAAAGTCAAATTATTTTATAATTTATTAATTGTAATGACCTATTAGTCGTCAAGCTTATTTCATGAAATACACTTTACATGTGAAGAATATTAAAATTACTTCTGCTACTTATCGCATTAAGGATAGAACCTTAATGCATATACGTCATTTGAACTCAAACACGCATTATTTAACATGCATTACTATTAAAACTGTAATTTCACGTTTGCTATTTAAAGTACAATAAACGGACAAGTTTACTGCCAATCTCACACTAACTCTATGCTACTCTGTTGTTGTTTTTAATGACACTTGTATAAACCAAGCTCGCCAGCCGTTGGATTTGCGAATAAAGATAGTGAGGAACACCTTTCCTTTGATAAGAGAGTACCGCTAGGATGAACGTGCGACTTAGTTCGGAACTCCCTGGATCCTTAGCAGCACCACTCATTCGTGAGGCCAATTCCACAATTTAAACATAGATCTGATGGGGAGGAAAATTTTCTCCAGATACTTGTACCTATGGTACTGCTCAGCGGCCAGCACAGGACTTTCGAATCCACAGATTTTACGAACACGTATATAGGTGGTTCTTAGCGGCTTTGAATATCGAACCCCGGTCCCCTCCAGATCGAAGTCTAATGCTCCTCGACTGAGTTAGCACGGCCCTCAACGCTACTCATGGGACTGTCACAAGATCGACAGCGAACGCATTACAATTATACATTTAAAAAAAATACATAAGAATTACACAAAAGGTGCTTAATAAGTATTATTTTTGCCTCTGTATTCCTAAGATTAAAAATTTCAACTTGACTGCACATAGTTAGTCAGTAAGTACCAAATATATGTAAAAAAAATGTTTTTTAATTAAGTTCTGTTGTCTACAAAATGAACAATAAAGATGATTGTTTTTTATTCGGAACTTCTGCAAAAAAAATCAATAATACGATTTAATGCATGGATGAGTGATAATTCTACACTGCTTCCTGGTATATCAGAACATTAAATTAAAACTCTTTAGTAAAAGCCCATTTTTCTTGCTTAAGATTCATAACGATTTTCAAGAAGGCCTTGAGTGAACAATGGAATAGTTTAAAATAGGCTGCTACTATTTTGTTTCATCTATTCTTGGATTTGAAGATCATCATTATAGTCTATATTTCCTTAGCGATGCTATCTAATTGCATTCCTTGCGCGCATGTATTTTCAAACAATAGTGAGATCCTAGTCGAAAATTCAGTTTCCATTGTGAACTTTTATCTCCCTGAATGATATAACCAGTGCAAGTTCATCAATGTGTAAAGATTGCCTGTCTTATCCTTGCTATAGCACCCAAACCTCATATGAATCAAAACAAGTTTTTTCTCAGTTTTCTATGCAATATGTGATGACATTTTACTAACCACGTGGTTATTGGGCAATGTCTTCATACTGAAACAATTGCGAGGAGGAGGAAAACTACATAACCAGAATAAGTTAAAAGTCAAGAAATCAGAAAGAACAAAGCCTAAAATGAGTGCAATCGTAACAATGGAAAAGGGCAATTATGAACCCTTTCCTGGTTTTATGATGTCATTCGGCATAATTTTTTTTTCCTTCCCTTGTGGTTTAAGACAGTCCCTTGTCATTTGTTTTACTTTTGAAGATTTAAAAAATTTCTCCTTAAGTAGAATATGTACTAAGTAAAGCAGATGGTATAGTTCTTGATGCTCATGCGGTAAGTAGATTTATTTATAAATATGTATACATATGTATATATATTATCTAAATATATTGGAATTGGCTATCAACCTTACAGGCTTTTAAGAGAGATAGTTAATTTTCTTTATTTGATTTATATGAATGCGTTTATTGCGTTTATTTATATAATAATACAAAAACATTCAATGAAACATTTTTTAATAAATGTTTATTTGTTTTTAAATTACATTTTTTCAAACGATGCAGACATTTATTTATATATTTATTTATTTATTTTAGCTACACTAGCTTCCGAAATTTCGCAAAAAAATAATAATAAATAAAAATAAAAATTTAGAAATAGAAATGTGTATTCCTGAATAACTTATTCTAATGATCGGGTTGTCATGAACTAAGAACCAAGCTTGATAGTTTAAAACGGTGAACTGAAACTTGTTAAATTAATTAGTGCATTACGTTGCGAAATCAGGAACAAAAATGTACTTCTCTGTATAAACATACATTTTCCAGACAGATTTGGATTTTTGACCATCAAAATTTGTAGGAGGTGGGAGTTGTCGCAATCTGAAATATATAGTCCTAATAGTTTAGTTAGGTGAGCATTCATAAGTTTGGATTCCTTAATGTTCATTTCAATTTTTGCGCATTACGCTATATCTCGGGTGCACAAAATGATATTAAAGATTTATATTAAGCATAAATTAATTAACATTATTATAAAACTCGCTTATCCAAAATAATCTCATGATTTTTTCACAAAGAAATACATTTATTTTTAAGAGGTCTAAATTTGCACTTAACTATATGTAAATTTAAAAGGAAAAATTTATGCAATTTAGTTTAATAAAAATACATAACGTGACAAAAAATGTTCTTTCTCTCAATGAATATAGTTCTTTTTTTATTTAATAGGTAATTTTTCCTCAGTTTAAAAATATAATATAAATATAAAGCATCTTCCAATACATAGTTGTCAAACTGTATTATTTCTTTTCTAAAAAGTAACTTATTGTAAAATGCAAAATTTTAATACCCATAATTTCTTCAAAAAATTTTCTGTGTCTTTAAAATATTTTGGAACTTTGCAATATTCAAAAATTTTTGTCGAATGCCATAATCAAGAATGAAAGGCAGGTTAATTTTTTTAATCTTCTGTATTTCTAATACCGGGCCTAAGAAACAAAATTATTTTTTAAGATTTTCAAAATTAGAACCCTTTTTCCAGAAACTGTAAATTTGTTTTTAATTTATCCGCATTTATCCGACATGTATTTGTAAAAGCAAAATATGATTTTTGCTAATTTTTCCACTGTTTAAAAATGGGATTCTACTTTTTCCTCAAAACATTGATTATTCATTTAATGCTTAGAATTAAGTTCTTACTTATTCCCTGTTACTATTTAAAACTATACTGTTAAAAAACTCTTGTTATAACTTGCAATAGTTGTATTAAAAGCTGAAGTAATATAATAAATTATATATTTGAGATTCCTTTTCACACTATAGAGTTCAGTATTTTCTCAATTATTAGCTTTTTATTCTTAATAATAGTTATATTTGAGATTCCTTTTCACACTATAGAGTTTCAGTATTTTCTCAATTATTAACTTTTAATTCTTACTAATTCTATTAGAAATTATAGTAAGAGTTATATCATAGATCCCATCTCGCAATATAGAATATCGGTATTTTCTCAATTATTACCTATTAATATTTTTATTTATTATTCTTAATAACTATATTAGGAGTTATCGTATTACTTTTTTTAGAGATTCCATCTAAAAGTATAATTACTATATTTTTTAATTTATTTCATGTATTACATTTAGTTTATTT